TGTCAAATATGCCAAATGAATTAGGTATGCATGTGACAAGCTTTAGGCTATAAAACCAACAGGAATCGTATATGTCACAAGAAAACATTACAGAATGATGAATAGTTGATTGAATGAGCGGAAGTAGTTAATTAATTCTGACCATGATGTGTACAAGGTCGGCGGTTGAATTGGATATTAAAACGGCAATATCTTCGATCTGACAGGATGGAATAAACACGGAATCTTCCTTCATTTATTTGATTAATACATGTTCCATGTTAGCATCAAGAGTTTTAACATACACATTGCTCACAACCTGATTTTTTCAGCAGAGCTTCAGGAATATGTCTAGAATAACATAGTACTAAAAGATCAGTGAGCCTTGAATCCAAAATGGCCATCATTTCCTAATTTTCTCATAAATTTAAATTTTCCATGTTAAATTTAACAAATCATATCCAAAATGAACGCCATTTTGCAGCATATTTTCATTATAGAAAGCAATGGACTGACATTTAAGTTCAAAACAAGAAGAGTGGGGCCCCTTGGACGTGGGTTGGGACTTTCCACTACATTTTCTTCTGGGTTGGTGCCCTCTGAGAGGTCGGTGTCCACGAAATTGGTATAATCAGTCCCTATGAAAGCCACTGACGAATTATCAGGTTATTCCGAACAAAACTATAAATATTACTTACGAAGATCCTAACTAATATTAATGTTAAGAAATGTACTTGTAGTGTGCAAGGCACTATCTTGTAGTTGTATATTGGTGATACGACTTCTTGACAGGGGTCAATGAACAATGACCATGTCTTTAAGAAATTTGTTATAAATTAAACATGGTGTCTGTAATTACTTGACCTGATTTAATCATGTCCTCTACGATTTTGTTTATTTTCATCAATGTTTTTCATTAACGATGCAATATACTCAGATTACTTGCTACAGTTGACAATAAGCATTAGGGAAGTGTTAAATTGAAACGTCCTGGCTTCCATAACACTGACAAATTAATTTTCCTGTCAAATATAAACGAAATGGATTTATCTTTTCAATTCTCTTTTAAACCACGGATTTGTTTTTATATTATTCATTGTAAAAAGTCAGACTTTGAATGAATATTGTTAGAAATTGTCTAAAATCATTCGAGTGAAATTAATGAATTGCGGAGATTAGAGTAGTAGAGCTTGATTAAGTTTTCACATTTAGCCATGAACTAGAAATTCAAGTATTTGATGTTAACAGCATTTGATTTATGTTAACGGAATTGGAATGTAGCAAAGCATATATCTTTGGATATATTAAAAGAGTTCCTACAGATTAAGATCTACGAGGGTTGGCTGAAAAGTCCTAGTGTAGTGGGATGTCTTAATAGGAATGAAACAACCTTTTGCCACCAAGAAGTAGAATCCTTTCATAAATCATTGGAACTTTGGATGGATGAAAAAAAAGTCCTGTATATGCATTTGCACAGTTATTGTCTTTGTACTAGACCATCTTGTAAACCTACCATTGAAATCATCAAATATGAAACAATGGCACTAAGGCAGTCATCAAGTCAATGTAACAGAAAGGATCAACACAGGTACATGCTTACATGTTTTTTTATTTGAAAAGGGATGATACCCCCTCATTAAAGCATTCTCGGAACGGTTACCGTACGTCACACCAGTTTATCCGTTTTGGAACCGTTCAATGACCACCTCCCCTAGGTGGGCCAGAATTGGAACGGTTCACAGAACGCATGACCGTTTACATTACACAAAATTTTACCCGTTACGTTCTGAGAACGGATAAATTTTGTGATGTCTTGAACTCCGTAACAGGATTTAAGACTGGATAAGTAGGATGGAATAAGTTGTCTGATATGGCGACTTGAAAGTTGACCATTATTTTAATGGAAAGAAAGACGAAAATTTAGGCTTTAAAATGTGCGAAAGAAAGAGCTTTCAGACTTTTCTTTTTGAGCATTCTTCAGTCGATTTGACATCTTTTGCTTTTCCCTTGAGGAATATAACTTCATTTCCAGTTCTATTTGTAAATCTCAAATATATGGACATCTTTCCAACTTGCTGGTTCATTTGGATGGTTTATTACAGAGATCAGAGACAAGTTTGTGGATGATGTAATAATTTTATCTGTTTTATAATCTATGCAATTAATGAACATCGGCCACACGAGCAAAAGTAAAAAGGTTTTTTGAATTGTTTCTATTATTTATATGAGAATTGGAGTAGCAGCCTCAAAATAGTACTAGTATTCTAAGAATTTCATTGGTTTGAAAAAAATATAAACGTCAGCACACATGTCTTCAAAATGTGTTTTTATAGAGGCCCATTTTTAGCACCTTTTTGGGTTGAAATTTCTAGGAGGCAAAAAAAATATATTTTTATCAAAGTAAAGGCATTCTAAGACTAACAATACTAATTTGATTTGCTATACCAATTCACATAAAAATGTTGTATAAAACGTTTTACGTTGCTCAGATAGTAGAAACTATATCGTTATTTTGTTCCAAATTTCAATTAAAAATCAAACTGTCTCAGAGGACAGTGGGACAAAGGAACTACTAAGATAGCATCCTGTGTTACTGATGTTCTTTAGCGATATGTTATGAAAGATCTCGACAGCAATACAGTACTAGTATTAGTCATTCTGTTGTTGAAGGACCTGATAAAAAAAAAATACTATGTGCCGCAAGACAATAAAATGTTGCATTTTTACACCACATTTTTGATTAACTTTAAATGAACCAGTGAGCAGGAATCGAAATTTTAGAAAATGCCAGAAATGAAAAAAGTTTTTTTTACCAAATTCATCACCATTTATGTTTGATTGTTTCCATACCGCCATTAAAGATTTGATTGATAAGAAATATTAATTCATTTTCCTTTTTTAAAAATTTCAAGAAAGTTGGTCATTCAATTACTGACGTTAAACCTCTCCCAATCGATCCCTACTAAAAGTCACTCTTAAAAATAATTGCTAGTCGGAATTTAATCCGGCATATCGAATTATATCCATATTGTTAATATGAAGATTATACAAAATAAATAAACAGTTTAGATAAATATTACTGAAAGATAATCTAAAAGTAAAGTCTCTTTTAATAATATAAAGCCTAACAGACAGGTTGATGGTAAGGAATGAGCAATTTCTATTCAAATGACGTTCGTTTAGTCTCCTACTTGCTCTTTAGCATCGATTTGTCATAAAATCTAACTAGAAAAACCATAAAACGTAAGACATGTAAGGAGAATATGAAAGCAATAGAATAATCTATTGTTTTGACGGTAGTTGGTGAAGGAAATCTAGCTTAATTCATTTACAGTAAAAGAGAGCTTATGGTTTAATAATCACTTGTGTGATGATTGATTTGGCCAAAGTCAAGTATGATTGCATGTTTTTATATATATCATTTGTTTATTTCTCATGCATATTCCTTGTTGATACAAGAACAAAGCCAATTACTTATTCATTAACCTCAACGCGATATCACTTACAGCAAGAAAACCTTTTAAAATCAAAATTTGCGTTTGTAAATGTAATAAACAGGGTCCAACTGTTTGGAGTAAATAAAAATGTTGAAAATGAAATCATAATGTTTGCAAATGGATAACAAATTATTTATTGTTTAAAATACTATATTTCGAAAATTGTGAAATAACGCTTTTAAGTTAACTATGATTTTATAAATTAATATTATTATAGGTCTTCAATTAAGTTTCACATAAATTGTATCTTCTACTGCAGTTTTCAGCCCGCCTCTGGAACCGAGGTCTAGCTGTCGAATGACTCCAGTGCCTATCTGGATCAAATTGAGCTAAATATGCTACTCCTTATTCTTATATATATTCTAGAATATAGTGACAGCACCAGAAATTCTAGACACAAATCTACATAATATGGTGTATAGGGGATGGTGATGTAACGTATAACTTTTGTATCCATCGGTACCAATTTCGTTTCCGGATGACAATTGAATATCGTTCTGGTAAAGTGTGTAAATCTTATTACAAGTTCAAAGGGTATGATAGGGCGGTCAGATCCATTTGTGATCTCTAGCATTTTCACGCCAACGACGAGACCCAATAATTTCTACAATTTAGCATCTGCATCTGTCAAGTCTTCCAGATGCCGTCAGTTGCCAGCATTGGAAATGTAGCTACAAAGTTACCTCTCAGATTTTGTCGTTTACAAGGCCTCATTATCATTAAAACATTTCATTTTTTTATAATTGAGGGTCAGACGAATCTCACTTAATCAAAAACCAATTATATAATATACAGGATATTCTCCTGTAATCAACACTAAAAGAAAGTCATTTAGTGCTAAGAGGTTTCCAGTTCGACGTCTATGGTTCCTGTAATTAAAAATAAACCTGGACCAGATTATCACCAAATTATTAAATATTTTTTTTATCACAAATGTCATTTAAGCGAAATGATATTTGTGATAAAAAAAATATAATAATATGGTCAAGTACATTTTGAAATTACAGGAACTTTAGACGTCGGGCACATTACAGAAAGACATTAATTTTAGGCGACTTGGAGTGTTGTAAGTTTAAAATAGTTGTAGAATGTAGACTATACGATGCTGAAAGGATTATACAGGATTATAGTTGTTTTTCTCCAGGCCCGTAATCCAGGGAGGGGGGGGGGGGGCTACATACAATCCTGCCCCCTGCCCCCTAAAAAATGTAAATCGTTATTTTTAAATACATTTAAGACAAATAATCCTGAGCCTTGATTTCGTCGGGAAATGCCAGTATTACGGGTTAAATTCACTGAATATAACTATCACATCATGTATACACCTTGTCCAGACAGCAATAGAAATACAAGCAGGAAATTTTATATACATTGTACCTATACCCGTCTTAAGTAGAAAACAAATCTATGAAATAATGGTACGAGAATTGCTTTGAGGCGATATCTTCCTTATATACAATAAACAAAATTGGTTGATAATCATTAGATCTATCAATTTGCTGATCCTGGATTATTTTTTAATTAAAGGAATGGTTTGATGAGTTTTTACGATGGAATCCAAGTGAATATGGAGGTATTGATGAATTAATAGTATTCCAAAGAGAAGTTTGGCTACCTGATTTATTTGTTGAAAATACGTAAGTTCGCGGTTTATCGAATTTGAAAATAAGCTCAGTGGTGCAAATTCAAACTGTTAGCCTTAAAGATGGGTTTCCTTATTTTTTAGTGTTAAACTTAAAGTAAGCAAACTATTTGATTAATTGGTATATCTAATATCTTATCATATTATTATGTTCTTTATTGCATATAATTCAGAGTTTTAACCAATCATAAATATCCATGTACGTACAGTCTGGATGAATATACAAATACTTTTTGACATTTCTTGATCAGTCATTCATTGGAATTCTGCTGGTAATTCTCTTCTAATTTAGCTAATTATGAATTAATTATGGTGACAAACTGGTATTTTCCAAGCCATAAGAACACCTTTACTTTCTATTCATATATTAGTATTAGCATTTTTATTTTCATAAATACAAATAAGGGATTGATTACTGTCTCATGATGCTTTTTTGCAGAACACAATTTTCAAATTTTATTTGGTCATCTAATATTTTAGAGCCAAGTTAAGATGTGTTATGATAAGCCTAAGGTTACTGGTCTATGTCTTGGTGTCGGAAAAAGCTGCTATGCAATAATTTCACATAGAAGATCTGTAATATCATTGTTGACCGCTGAATCATGATAAAATGTTTTTTGTTCTAAACAGTTCCTCTGATGTATTGTAATACCAGTGACCAAGTGATCTTTTCAAAGATTAGAATATTTTTTACCATGCCTGCTTCTTTAATCTCAATTATTTTATTTCTTCAACAAATTGATTTACACGAAAAACATGAGTGTAAATTTCTTGGCTTCACGCAATAAAACACTTCAATAGAAATCGTAACTGATTACAAGAATTCGTGTAATTAAAATGTTGAGATTTTTTATTACCACAAACGTGTCCTTTTATTGCTTTATGAAAAAAATCCGAAATTAGAAAAAAAAGATCTTCTTTCTTATCAAACAATAACATTGATAAAGGTCGGTCTGATCTATCATGTCTTGGGGTAAAAAATAGTTGTTTCAAATTATATCTGTGTTAAATCTCATTTTAGCCCCGTCACATCGGATGGCGATCGTTTGCGAACTTACAACGAATATAAATGTACCAGGTTGTCGGCAAACGTGAAAACGCAAGAAAAAATTCTCAAAGAAATTACAAAGAACAGTCGAACAGATACGTTCCCATAGCGCACCAACCACGACTGTTACACTCGTGGCGTTTCTATTGATTACTATGGGTTTTGTAAGGCACCGTGGATCTCATTGTGCTCCCACCAAGTCTTTTGGGTTCTTACTGGTCGACCTAAAATAAAGCAGTTTGTATAGCAGATAACATGGGAAAGCATGATCATTATAGGATTATTGTGCAAGTCTAGTAAACCGTACAAGTATGAGGTCGCAGTTGCAAATGTAACCTTCTTCGGGACATCTTTGCGTTAAGGGAGATGTCATGCTGCTTGTATAACGACCTTTTCGACCTTCCATTGTGTTGTCAACTTGTTCCAGAACAGATCGCCGAACAGATTTTCAAAAACGAACGCCATGCATTAGCTATCATTGGCGACAATAATGACCATCGCACAATTCCTTGCGCTTCCTACACTCTCATACCAAGCGTATAGTAACATTAATACACAATTTTCCATTGGCGTAGCAGTGCAGTCAGGACGCCTTTCAGTTGTGACGAGGGTAATAGTAACTCAACCGACAAGCCAATCCAAACAACACAAAAATTTTCATCTCAAAACTCTAAAAACGTTTTCAAACTACTTACTTACCATATCATATTTCTGGTCATAATAGAGTATAAAACCTTCGTATTATTTCTATAAAGAAAGATTAGTTTCATTTCTTTTTTCTAGGGCCCAAGATTACAAAGAGTTGGGAAATGACGCCATGTTGATTGCTGTCAGTCATAAAGGACGAATATTTTGGGAGCCAGGAATTGTGACGGAGACAAGCTGTGCTGTTAACATCGGTCGTTATCCATTCGATTCTCAATCTTGTGATATTCGATATTTGACATGGATGCATACAAACCGTACGCTAACTGTTGATCCAGAATTTGATTCAATAGATCTTGCAGCTACGTTACCAAATGGAGAATGGGACATTGCAAGAACGGAAGCTTTGCCATATTCATACCCATCGACTTACAAACAAGGCACAAGTCACACTGGTGTGAAATTCTTTGTCCATTTACGACGGAAACGAACATTTTACATTTTGAATACTATTATACCAGTGGTTATGCTGTCGTTATTAAATGTATTAGTGTTTATTTTACCTGCCGACTGCGGAGAGAGAATGGCACTAGCTGTAACAGTTTTACTATCATTTACTGTATATCTTGGTATTATTAGTGATGTCATGCCTAAAACATCTGAAAGCCTTTCATTATTAGGTAAGTACCTACTTTATATACCTTTATGACGATTATCATTATTGTATAATCTCTCAGATCGTTAATGGCTTGCTGTGTCTCTTTTTGGAATAAAGCATTATTTAAATAATATACGTTGTTAAAATTATTAATTGTAATCCACTTTAACGTACACTGTACATATATTTATTTTTCAGCTGTGTACCTCACCACTTTGCTGTCTTTGAGTACTATATCAGTTGGCTGTGCTGGTGTAGTTCTGAATATACATCATAAAGATCCGAGAACAGCCGTGCCTAGATTGGCTCGTATCTTACTTGGTAGTAGTAGCAAAACCAATTACACAACGTTACATAGACGTTCAACTATTCGCGATAAATACGTGGAAACAGACAATCTGCGTGATCGTGACTTGCAAGATTCTGTTCATTTAAATATGAAAGATTTGGTTAGTGAAAGTAAACCATTAGAAAACGGTGATGCTGATAATCATAATATAGAAAGTAAAATAACAACATCAACAACGTCACCAGAGTGCCAGTGGTTGGTCAAAGATGGCGAAGACGTTGGTAAAAAGCACAATGTTACGTGGCATGATATTGGAAAATCATTGGATAGTATTTTGTTTTGGATTTTCTTTATTATCACTGTTACTGTAACCACAACTATGTTAATGTTATTTTGTGGAGTTCATGGATTCTGAAGGTATGGCGGTTAGTTCCCTCAACAGTTTATTTACAAAGGCAAACGGTTTGCACCAAGTTTCATAGCATCGTCTGAACGCACAATGACAAAAGGGTCGTTTGAGCAGCAACGGTGATAGCTTTAAGAAATGAATTTAATATCAGTGGTTTTTCTGAAAGTGTGGTTTGAATGTATGAGCAATCTTAATAATAGCATATTTACAATCAATTGGAAACATATTTATATTTGAACTTTGGCTTGAACAATCAGGCACAAGCGGTTGCTCAATCAAGGTGCTTGTTAAAATAGTGAATACGTTGGAGTTATCATTAACAGTTAAATTGTTTCCTCATTCTTTTTGATAGAATCCAACAATAATAGAATATAAGTTAGGAACATTTTTTTTGCAAATTATATTCACCTGGTGTTGATGTAACTGGACGATTACAGCTCCATGAAGCAGTAGCTACTCAGAACCAGGGCGAAGCAATTTATCCCAGATTTTCTTTAGGATAAGTTGATTGTTTTAGTTATGAGGAAACAACAATAAAGGAAGAAAAGTTTTTTTTATATATGACCAACTTTCAGTTCTATCTTCTTTCTGCAGTTTTATAGTTCAGATTGAATAAAATGGCGGCTTTAGAATTTCATTCCTTTGGAGGAAAGATTTGTAGGTGTTTTGTTGATTCATTTGGAATTAGGTTGATGAAATAATAGAATGTGTGTTTTATATAATCAATGACGAAAATCTACTTGATGGATTTATTAAGTGTCAGGAACTTGATAATAATTAGTACTGGATGTCATTTCTACATCATCTCAATCAACTACTGAGATGACATAGAGTAGTGTTGACTCCAGTAGAGACTGTGTGATTATTGCAAGCAGACACTGAGTAACGTTTTGATATCTTTCCGATGATCATATAACTTTAGTACCCCTTTTGTGATGGTTTTTGAAAGGATGGCAAAATACTTATCGTTGTCCCTTTTAGACTTTGAATTTGACAGCCTCTGGAAGAACGGGGTAGATGGTATATATTTGATGGATATACTGTACTTTCGCGGAGAAGAAGAAAACTATTCTTTTGAAGCTTCGCTCGAACGAGTCCGAAGGTTATTATGGGTGATATGACATTGTTTTGTTGATATATACAACAAATGAAATATTAGTTATTGTTTCTGTATCTGTCAAGTTTGGTGATGCAGAAGACGGGTTTATTATTTTAAGGTTTTCGGATTTCCAAGACATGATTTTCGAATTTATTCATTTATTTGTATATAAAATTCTTATTGTTGAAGATCTGTTCCTATTTTGCAATAAATTACGTTAGTTTTGAAGTAAATTTCCTGCTTTTCCATTTCCCTAGTATGCGTGTCTTGAAAGCAATGCGAAAGAGTTTTGATAGAAAGCTCTCGGATTTAAACCAAAGTTACATTAGTAGTTTCTTTGTTTTCGGGGAAAGGAAGGGAAATATCAAAGTATTAACTCTGACTAATGACTTACACAACTTGTTATTATTATTCTTGTCAAATTGTAAGTATTATTAGTGCAATTATCACTTGTTCTTGTTTCAAAACTGTTAGCTACTGCATGAAAATTTTGTGTTCTTTTTGTGAGGGAGGGGGGGGGGGGGGGTGATTGGGGATTAATTGGTGTTAATATATTTCAATCGTGGATACTTCTTTTTCTTTTTTTATTACTTGTTGTATTAATTGACTCTTTCTAGATTCTACATGGTATATCTGATAGCTAATTAATGGTATCTTGCGATTTTTCGTTATGCCTAATGTAACCTCATTTTAGTCTGAAATAGGAGTGCTCTAAAGAATGTCCATTAAACAAGTAATAGTGGTAAATGTTCATATAGTGCTTATTGACAATAGTCTGGAGTTACAAAACATGTTGTTTCTCTTGCATTTCCTGACAACAAGACGTATCACTTGTGAAACAATAGAGAATAACTTGTACGATAAGGTTAATGTGATAATGTACAAATCTACTCATTGTCATTTAAGGTCTGAAATTTTCAGTTACAAAGGTTTGTAGTTTGTCCTTTTTATTCTTCTGTAAAAAGTAAACTATTGTATTGTGTAAATATCACCACTGTATTTATAATGTTAATAAACTGCATAATATTTTGATAAGTTTGAGTATTCTTAAACAAGGTAAGGAAGCCGTAACTGTTGCAGCACATTATGTGTTTTATATCGCATGAAGTATATCATTCAGGAATAACGCAGTTTGTGCACGCTTAATTAAATTTATAAATCTCATCAGAATATTAGCAATAACTGAAATCACACAAAAACAATGTCCTTCACCCAGTCATTTGTTTTGGGTTACCTGCAAAACGTTATCCTGGCATTGCCTGTCTTCATAACCCAAGTGAAAATTAGAATTTAGTTGGACTTTAGTTACATTTAGGCCTATCAGTCGAGTCCAATTATTTGTATACAGCTACTATTTATTAGTATTTAATGCAACTTGGAATATTTGATGAAAAAAAAATTGAGTTCAGTTTCATCTTAATATGTTGAAATTGGCTGTATATTACGAAATCGTAATTGGTAATGATAAAACGCTTACTTATATTGAGAGTTCTTTTTCATTGAGCTTACTTCGAACTGTCTTGGCAATGGGACCAACACCCAAGACTTCTTGATAAAATGCTGTCGTACCTATTTTACTAAACAGACCATGAAATGTATTCAAACAAGTTAATCATACTATTAACCTCTTCTCTTGAAACGTCTGGCTGTTCTGATCTTATCGCGATACCGTCTCGAACATTCAGTAATATTTTAAAATGGAAAGTAATAGCTAAACCTATCGATATCTCCTAAGATTATTGCTATTTTTCTCTCTTAACTTGACTGATATCACCAACTTCATTCATATTTGTAATGGAATGTAATGGTACGAGTGTATAGTACAAAATAATAGATGGCCTATAGCCTGTGACCATCAAAGTCTGCAAACGTCTGGCCATCAATTGAGCAACCGTATTATATTATTTGTGTCTAAATAAACATAATCTCTGAAGATTCTTTGGTCGGTTTTCCAAGGTGAACATTTTCCATTTCAAGTTAATCAAATTAATAAATAGTCAGGGAACTCTTCTAGTTGGGATGCCAACTAGTTATCATTTGGATATAGATCTACCTACAATGTCGATATTACAATTTGAACATTTTTCCCTTCCCCTTTTAACATAGCTCTTTTTCTACAAAGCTATGATTTGGCGAAAAGATATCTAGCCTACATGAATATTAGATAACATTTTATGATCTTATATCATCCGATATATCATGGGAAGTTACAATGCGAGATAGTTCTGCTAAAGCACCAGTTGAAGGATTGTTGACTGCAGATACTTCTTGGGGAGAATCGAACTCTGCAAGCGAAGATTAAAAGACACTGCATAATCGTCATTTAAGACGGGCATTATTTAGATAGATTATTCCAGGGGGGTAACATGAAAATATCGGATTTTTATCAGACTACAAATACAACGTTCTCGGGGATGGGAAGAAGGATGATAATAGCAAATCAAAAAAAAAAAAAAAAAATCAGACGTTTAATTCATTTTCAAATCATTTAATGCAATTTTCAGTCCATGGGATCAGCAATTGAATCTAATTTGAATTTAATAAGTTTGACATACTACATGCATTTTACCAGCGAACGTTATGCAAGGTTATGCATGGATTTACAAACTTTAATAATTTCACATAAATATGGAATTGCAGAAGCATCATTTTTTATTAATTTTCTGCTTATTTGTTAGCAGTGCTAATGAAGTAGGACTGGAGTTTTGTGCTGAAAGATATTGTTTCTGGAAACAACACTGACAGTTTTATTTGAACTTCTGTACTGTTGTTGATTTAATGAATGAGAGAAACCTTCTGAGAGAAGAGCCAATTCTTTTTTTTCCGTTGAGTCAAATAAAGCAGAAGTAGTATGATAATTTTTAAAAAAGCCGTGCAAGCAAGACAATTCCGTTAAGCTTGATCTAGTCCAAAGCATGCCAAAATTGGGAAGAAAAGTGTATGTATGGTCTGCGACACCCGCTAGGTGAACACCAGGAGATACAATCAGACAATTTCTGCCTGACCAAACAAATAAGCCACATGACAGATTTGTCATATATGTCAAGACGTTTGCTATAACGACCATAAATTTCCTAATGAAGTTTGAAGTTATGTGTCAAGTAACCTTGCTTAAGCAATTTCAGAGTAAAATCTCTACCTCTGGCCAGAAAGTCTTTATAACTTGAATTGAAGAATAACAGGTTTAATAATCATTAATGCGCACAACACCGATTGTTCCATTAAAATGTAGAAGCTTCAAAAAAAAAAGACAACACAGTGCAAACAATTTAATTCAAAAATGATCCGCACATGCTGCTGATATCAGATGTACAAAAATGCAAATCCAAAATTAAAAGTTAGCAAGATAGTCATGAAAGCTACAAATGAAACTTTATCAAGAATTCTGGCAATTTGAGGCCAATGATTACAGTTAGTTATTTTATAATCAAGATTACCATGGTAGCAGACATCACAAATATCCTGTTTAACATTTACTTGGGAGGCAACAGAATTTCTTCGCAAGGACCCCTTAATTTGCATAACTTGAGATCTTTTACGTTTGAGTAACAATGATTTTAACACAGCTGGTATGTGTGTGGTTGGTGGCAAGCTGAATATATACAAAGTAATCACATTCCCAACAACGCCCAGGAAGCTCATTCCAATCATTAAAGTTACGAATATCACTGAAATAAAAAAAATTACAAAGGATGAGCCCTCATTGCAATATGCAAATGATAAGATATATTCAGTTTTCAGCATGAAAAATACAAATGGTTATATAACATACCGAAGTAAGATGTTGATTCCGAAGTTTTAGGTAATAGGTCACTGATGGCACCCAGGAATACAGTCAAAGACAACAGTACAGTAATGGCAACTGTAAGCTTCTCTCCGCTTTCAGGTGGTACCAAGAAACTCATACCGCATAGGAATGCAATAACAGATATTGGACCGACCACATTCATTAAGTAGAATGTTGCTTTTCTCTTCAGATACAAATGAAATATAGTGGTATGTAATAGCTGTGATGGATTCCCTGATAATGGATACTGTTGCTCCGATACATTGGTGGACAGAATATCAAATTGACCATTATCAGCTATAATACTGGATAGGTCCATTTCAGACGCGGAAACTTTTATATCTCTATCGGTTGTCATCCATGATATTATATTAATTGAGCAATTCTGAACATCAACTGGGAACATTGTTACGTCTATTTTACAGCCTGTTGTGAGGGTGTAGTCTGGTTCCCAATCTATCACACCAGAATAATTAACATATACTCTAGTCATATCACTACCAAACGGCTTTAAACCTACAATACTGAAACAACAATATTAATATGAAACAATTATAAATGGACAATTATTGTCAAATTAACGCATAACAAATAATTTCACTATATATTAGATATTGTACACTTTTTAGAATGAATATCAGGCTATTAAAACTTTATCTAGCAGAGTGGTCATATTCCCAAGCAGATCAAACAGACATTCTCCCAATAATAGGCTTACAGTCATTATTAATTTCTTTCTTCTTGTGTTTATTCAATCGATACGAACGCGAGCGTGAAGTCAATTTCCATTCTAAAATTGATTCAATACAATTAAAATAAATAAATAAAATATAAATTTCACCAATATGCGATAACTTGCCTGTGGTTAAAATTATTATCGAAACGAGTTCGAAGTGCTTATTAACTGAATATGCCTTTTTGCCATTTTCATTGATTTGAAGGTTTGGAAGGAATTACTACATAGAAAATGTTAGAGATGTGCAATAGATGTGCAAAGTCCGTACTTATACTTGTGTTGGAAAATTATAAAGTAAAAGAATTGTCTTACCTTCTTTAATTCGTAAGTCTACTAGGTAATATCCACTGTAAGTAAATAATTATTTGATATCTAAAGTGTTACAATTTTGTACATTGTCATTTTGAAACACTATTTGGTAATATTGTGTGGGATAATCTCATATTGTATACCGCTAAGGTCTCAATAATAAAGAACCGTTTAAGATCACACAATCCTTCATTATGTAGGCCATAGCATTAGAAAAATGCCTAAACAGTCCTACACACAAACAGGCAGGGTTGAGTTTAGGGTGATATGGTCAGTGAATTTCATTATTTAATAATAACATGATAATTAGTTCACTGTCATCATTTAAATTGAAAAGTAAACATTCCTTACTGGGAGGAAATGGAACTTGAATTTAAGAATTAAGAAACGTTTCATACGTACTTTTCCATAATAAAACAATTCAACATAACTAAATACATGAGGATACAAGTTGTATTTTTAATGATTACACAGTATAATAATGGAAATGTAAACATACATGTAAGTAACAAAATTAATATAAAATAACAAAGATAACATAAAATAATATTATTATAATAAAAAATGAATGCAATCGATTACAAATACATTTTGCAATTGACAAAAAGTTATATGATCTTGATTATAATCTTTATATTTTCTCTTAGTAAACAACTGTCTGGTTTTGTCAACACTTTACCTTTTTTTTCAAAAAGACTTTCTAATCAAACATTAGGATGGCTTTAAATTATTTTAATACCTTGAAAATGTGTAGTTTGTGTAGAAATGAATCGCATGCAACTACAATTTCTCAAAGCGACAATGATACATTAATGAAATATTTTGATATCAATGAGTAAGTTTATAAATATTCGGTGAGCCCAGAGAGAAAGGAATTACGTCTAGTCATTGAATAAACATTGTGGACCTTGATAGCGTCTTGATCTACTCTTGAAGTAAAATGGAAAGGCCTGTGTTGACAATTGACAGTAAAGCAATAAATATAACAAAACATAATATGTCTAGCTTTCTAGTTAATTTACGCCATTGATGAGCTTTCATCTCTAGCAAACCTTGATCCAACCTGTCATTTTTGTTATTTTCTTCACCAGGAGCAGGTTCCATCTTCTTCTCGCTCTCCACCATCAAGCTCTTTAAGATCACAGGTACTTTAGTAGGTGGATTTTGATTATATAGATACATGATGGCAGCATTTAGAACAACTCCCAGAAAACTCATACCAATTAATGTTGAAACGTAAATAACTAAAACAGAAAATAGTTTGAAGTATCAAAAAATCTGTCGTCTGTGGTTATAATTTAGGGGTTTAGTTACAGTTCTTTAACAGTATATAGCCCTTCTACTACCAAGCTTTCATTGAAAGTTTTGTTCTTAGCGTAATCAGGCACCAGTGCTAACAGTAAGGGGAAAGATGAATTAAAATGGTTGGGTTTGTACCCTATTGCTTCATATTACAAAAAAAAAAACTTACCAAAATACGAAATGGATCTGGATGTTTTAGGTAGGTTTTCGTCCACTACTCCCAAGAAAACGGTTATCGACAATAGTATTGTTACGGATACAGTTAATTTTTCACCACTTTCTGGAGGCACCAGGAAGCTAACGCTACAGAGTAATGAGAGAACAGCTATAGGAGCTATGACATTTAGTTGATAAAACAATGCCTTTCTCTTCAGGTGTAGTTCAAATATTATACCCTGTAATGTTGTGGATGGATTTCCGCTAAATAATATTTCATCCAAATGAGATTTTGAGTTTATTATGTCGAACTGATAGTTAGGGGATAGGAAACGTGTTAAATCCAAACCTAATGTCTTAACACGTATCTCTTTGGTACTTGTCATCCACGGTAATATACGTATTGTACAGATCTGTTTATCAAAAGGGAACATTGTAACATCCATGTTACAAGCTGTGGTTGAGGTAAACCCAGGCTCCCAAACAGCACAGCCCGTTGAATTTATGTATATCCGTACTTTATCTTCACCGAAAAACTCATGACCCCGAACCCTGAAATAAGTAGTGATAGTAGAGAGAAACAGGGTGCAAGCTAACAGAGTGTGGAAATAACTTCAACACTAAAGAAACTTTAAGAAGAAAGGAAATGTGTTGCATTGATTAAATTAGGCTGCATGCAAAGAGAACTAAAATGATGTTGAAATATGGATTGAAACACATACGAATTGGTTGCTATAAAGTCAGGTAGCCATATGTCTTTCTGAAGAACATTTATTTCTTCTATTCCACCGTAATCCTTGGGATTCCATCGCAATTTTTCGTCAACCCATGTCTACAAAAACAATGATAGTTGTATAACACACAACAAACGTTTTGATGCTGCATGGTTTATATTACAAAACTCTAGCTTTCATGTTGTTTACGAACTCATACTCGCCTAAAATCTTTCACAAACCAAAAGTCTATGTCCACATAGCTAATAATGTTTCTATAACTAATAGAATTGGAAATTCTAACAGCTGAGTTATTATTTTTTTGTAAATAATAACATATTAATATTCAGGTACTTACTATATAAAACCACCCCGATGTTTTCATCACTTGTTCTTTTGTATCCTGCAAAAACAAATCTGGCAGTTACCAAGAAAATATTCATTTCCATCAGCGTTTTAACGCCGTGTAAAATGCGTCAGATTACGCCTAAAAATGACACAGCGTTATACGCCGCGTTGTACTATGTCCACATGAGCGTAGGCGGAGACGCACTTGCCAGAAAGGAAGACAACATGGTGGACGAATCAGACAGTGTCATTGAAGCCAAAACACTTTATCTACTAGGATTTCAATGTCGCTGTCTGATTTGTCCGCCATGGTGTCTTCCTCTCTAGCCAATGGGCCTTCGCTTACGCTCATGTGGACATAGTACAACGCGGCATACATGAATAATTGTAGAGTGGTTTTGACTGCTAAGAATTTCTACCATCTTACCTTCAGTCGTCTATAATGTAGATAATGTAATATGAATAGATGGAATTGAGCTCTGAGAGTTGTTACATACATTATAGTCTATCATTTGATGTTTCTGTTCGGATACAAAAGGTCTGAAATTTGGTTTATTATTGAAAATATCTTAAAATGAATTCAGTTAAGTATATGTGTATATTTGTCAAGATATATGATTGTGTTTAAATTACTATACTAGCTTTTACAGTTTTAATTGCGTTATCAATACCATTAGATTAAATGTTGACATTTAAATGAAACAAACGGTAAAGGGAAAATAAACTGAAAATACTTTATATTGATATAATCAGAGACCAAAATACTTTCCTATTTAAATAGTTGGATAAATTGCGATAGTCTCTGTGTAAATATTCAAAGCAATGTATTGATGGGATTGTGTTTATATTAACCTATAGATAATACTTTTCTAATGTTTAATATCCTTTTCATATTGTCACGTGGCTTGCAAACTTGTCCTATAATACTCAAAACGAATAATTAATACAATAATTAAAATGTTTTCTATGTAATTATCCAGGAAAAGAAATATTAGATGGACTTAAAATACGTCAACGGCAGCCAATCACAATAATCAGATGGTTACAATTAGCAAAATATTACATTTCCGAAATTATAAATCAAATTGATTTCTTATGTCAAAAATATTAAATTTGCAAGTAGCGTGACTTTAATTTCACAATGGTAATGTCACTGTCTTCCTTTCGTTGTTTGCCTAAACGTTTACTTCCAGCGGGTTGGTTGGGTACTTGAGATCTAATACCAGCCCTAGTTTTGAATGTATATTTGGATAATTATACATCATGACATCTATCATTTAAACTGATTCATCCCGGTTAACAGTAATTGTTCCATGTTGTTTACCAAGTGGTTCATTTCAAGTGCGATTTACCAACTTCATCCTAGTTTACAACTGTTTCATGTCTGTTCCCTGGTGATTCATTTGAAGGGACATTCCGCTTTTGTGTAATTTTTAAATTTGTGAAAACTATACGCCAAAATCTAGAGAAATGTGTCCTTTAACGTATTTGAAAGTTTTAACTAAAAGAACCCAGCTGTTAATTTTTAAATGCCAAAAATATTGAAAAACATTACGTAAGGTTTTTAAGTTCGTTATGTTTATTTGGAAGCTGTTAGAAAACTACTGAACGGATTTGAGTAAAATATAGGTCTAATAGTAGAGACACATTATGTCTCCTTCGTTTTCTAAAGATTTCAACTAAATATAAGGAGCCTTATAAAGCCAATCGCCGAAACTAGGACAAACTGCTTAATTAACAATTAGTACTCTCAGTTTTTTTATTAACCCTTTTAAAACAAATTCAGTTTGATCAGGAAGATACCTAGATATAAATAACATACTTTAGAAATATTTTCAGTTATAATTCACGACGTTTTTGATCATGAAAATTTTTTTATAAGAAAGCGGAATGTCCCTTTAAACTGAGATTATCTTGATTAATCCTAGTGAACAGTTGTTTCATGTCTGTTCCCCGGTGGTTCATTTTATCTGAGATAAGATTTATTCAACCTAGTGAACAGTTGATTCATGTCTGATACCCGGTGGTTCATTTTAACTGAGATTAACTTGATTCATCCAAATGAACAGTTGTCCTCGATCAACCAGGGTCTGTGTGGGGCCACAGTGACTGCTGAGACCTCAGCAAACCTACAATCATACAAATTCTATTTCACGAGTAATTCTATATGCAACTCTGTCCCTTTCTCTTTTCAGCTGTAGAGGGAAGGCTTAGATCATAGTAAAAATAGAAATGCAGAACACATACTTATAACTTTTAATTAGATATTCTATAATAACTTGTTACTATGAATTAAACAACCGGTTCCCTGATAAATTTTCAGTATATCAAGGGCGATATGTTTCAAATGAGATATAAAACCAAACATGTCAAAGACTTAATTGTCACCTCTATTGCGTTCACACGACACATTTAACATAATTATTGTGTATCATTAAAATCAGATGAAATCTTCATAGTCTATTTAGTATTCATTAACAAATTTTGACGCATTTTTACTAAGTCAAGGGCAATAATTCAAAAACCGTTCATCGAAAAATCGTCAAATTCCAACTTGACCAAGTCTCGTCACTAAAAATAATAATAACATCGAATTTATTTCGAAAGTCAAGTGCTATAACACAAAAGCTGTTCATGAAAAACCCTCAAACTCTAACTTAACCAAGATCTCATTGTCGTAGATGATCGCACCAAACTCCATTACAATCAGATAAAAACTGTAGCCATGTCATCTTTCCTATTTTTTTAATAATTCGTTCTATTTCCTTATCTTCTTTGCCCATGATGACTGGTATAATGACAAGGTGCCGTAAAATATGCTCACGTGACATTTTTGTTACGATTTCATTGGCTCATACCTATTGGATCACGCCAAGCGAGGTTAAAAGGGTAAAACGCAGCGTCGGCAGAGCGTTTTTTTCAAAGCACGCTTATGTGGACAAAGAACTTGAAACTCTAAATAAGGTTTCTCTGTTGTTTTCATGCTGCGTATTACGGGCCATGAAAACGCGTTTGCCTTACCAATCCATTAAGCGGGACAGAGCCTTAAAACTTACCAGCTGAATAAGCATACCAAGAAACATCTTTAAATGTATTTCTGTCACTTCAGATTGGTTGAGCTTAGGCCTGACCATATTGGAATAATTAGCCACTTTAAATAAATCATATTTCAATCTGTACAGGTCATCAAATGTCGATCCCAACGTACCTATATAGTATTACATAGTGTAAATGAAAAATTATCAGAATAAAGCTTCCCAGATAAGGAAGCTGGATTGTAGAATCGTTCTGTAAGATATAACATAAACCCAAAAAATACATTGGCATAAATACAATTGGGACTATAAATACTAAAATGATTATAAAAATATGAGGGCTCACCTTGTATCAAAAAAATCCATACAAGGTAATATATCAGTTTACCATTCATTCCTTACAATATGTTCTTATACTAATAATGTCCGGAATCTCAATCACTGAATCGCCGATTTTACCACCAGGACACTGCTATCACAATCATCAAAGATCGTTAAATATGGCCTTCTATATAGATAAAGTTACGCCTACATGAAACTGATCATTTGTGATTCGTTGATCCCTGGGATGTTTGTTTACAAACAAAATATAATAATTGCAATCAGTCAATAGCATTAGCGCTACAATAACTTCTACTAAAGGAGAATTAATTCATCTCAAATATGTAACGAAATAAATATTTAACGAGTTTGGTTTAACAAACATTGGTTTAAGTACAATTAAGGTGAAACAAGTACTGAAAGGCAAAAGAAACTTGGATGTATAATATATATTTCTTTATTTTCAAATGCTTATATATGCAAGTAAAGGCATGGAGAATGTCGGCTTTTGACATCAAAATTAACAGTATAAACAATGTTTGGGCGCACTTCATTGAGTCGGCATTGGATCTCATTCCACAACTGTTGGATTCAAATCTGGACTGAGAGCTGGCCAAGGCATGATTTGAATGTTGTGCTGCTGCAAGTCCCTGCTGGTAGTGTACAGTCGGCGTTGTCCTGTCGTAAGGTGTGGTTTCGGTGAAGGGCTAAAAAAGCCAAGACGTGAGGTCTGAGGACTTGGTCAATGTAGCGGAGAGCTGTGATTCGATTACCCCTGCTTGGACTAATATTCTGAAACGCCACAGGCCCCACTTTCTGGTTCAGCCCAATTCCACCCAAACCATGATGCTTGGACCGCCCCACAAGACCATTAGACTTTTTAAATTCAAATTAGTTGACTAAAGAACACGACGTAATTAAGTTAAGTTTTTCCGGTATTTTTAGAAATGACGTTTTTTATGCCTTTCAGCATATGTATAACATTAACAAAAGTGCGAGTTACGTGATTCCGTATTCCACAAGGCTGGACAAGTACTTTTCCAGTGAGTTTTGTCGACTCCATATTTCACACAGTCATCTCTAATTCTCATTTTAATATATCATTATCAATAAAATTCATAATATATAGATAGTTGCATCGACACGCCACGTGTTTGTGACATTAAAGATCTATAAAAAGTAAGTGTGAAATTCACAAGAACGAAATCTATAATGAAATATTGCAGCAACATGACATTACATCATCGTGAAAACGTTGTAACAACCATTCGATCAAAACCTCGACCAAGCTGTCGATAGCAGTATAAGCAACTTTTCAGAAATCTGTATTTAAGAAAAGGTGGCGTCGTTAAACGGGATTTCAGAGTCAACGAATTTAAAAGAACATTCAGGTTTAATTTCAACGTTCAGCTTATATGTGTGATATTATATGTATATCCTTTGTATAGTTTCTCTACGTCGATCTGGCAACAGAGAAGCCGTATTAAACACCAAAATTTGACATTTGCTTGCTCAAACTATTTCGAACTACGGATCTGTAACTCTTCATTTTCGGAGGTACGTATTTGAAATTATTGCTGATTTATTAACAATTGATGGTCCAATCAAAATATTTTTTTCATATATCTGCTAGTACAGTGAAAATGGGAAACGGGATTCAACATACATACGTAACCGGTTACGACTTTTATCAGTGTATTGAGACGAGTCTCAATGAAAGCACTGGCCTAGGCCATAGATAAGCTTATCAATTATGTGAAAATTAGTTAAAGAATGATTTTACACACACTAACACACCCTGTCCACCAGTCCTGGAAAATGGTTTTCGTGAAAGTTAACTTCGAAATCGATTTAAATGAAGAAATACCTACTTTTAGGATAAATAGGTATTCAATGGTTCAAGTCTACCGTGAACGAGAAAATTGATTTCGATTTTTTGTGTAAGCTACAACCAAACGTTTTGTGTACGCATGGGGAAATTTGTTTTGAAGTTCCGAGCAAAGGCGTCTGACTATAATGGAGGCTTTGGTAACTGTAGAATTATATGTTGTTACAAAGGGGAGTATTTGGTTATCGTGTTAAATGTAAAGCCCATTTTGCCTTATAGTCTGTGGTTTGTCGATCCCGTAGCTTTCGTGTTGTAGACGTCTATGTTTCGATTTGATACTAGGTGATCTATAGGCATGATGAGAAGGTCATGAATCGAATGATCGGGAAGGTTGAAGTGATTCACAATTGGTCTATCCTTGCCATGCACTAGCGTTATATTGTAACTAAAAGCTTGAATATTTTAAGTTGAAACTTTCACGAAACTTTCTCTACTGCACACTGGCATGCCATTGAATGTATTTCAAGCTCCAAACCACATAAAAAAAAACGATTGAAAAGACAGAAAACGGCGATGATGTCTCAATTCCGACTCAATTTACGTGGGATGGGAAATCTACTGCTCTCTAATTGGAAGATTTATAGGCTCTGACGACCCATGGCATATGGATATATTTCTTTAAATACCCCCAGTTGGATCAAGATGCTGAATACAAAATATTAGCGGTGAAAATTTATGGCTTTATACACTCTTCACACATACAAAAAATTAATTTGGCGTTGTTGCTTAGTCGAAAAGGTGAAAAACTACTCACTGCACCTGAAGAGGTTTACTTGGCCAAGGATCGGGTGGATTATCATGTCTAAAACAATGCATCAATTTGTTAAATCGGCTGATTTTGTACAGAAGAAGAAACCCGTCATCGTTCGTCCTATTTAATGCTAAATTTCTTACAATAATTTACCCTTAAAGATTTTAATCCTTAAAATTTATTGTGATAAAATGTTGTGAAGCCATTAATATTGTAACACGTTCGATTGTTGGTTGTTTTTTTACTCTGACGAATGGATTGAAAAAATTGATTTTGAAGCCACTGTGAGTGAGAAAGTTACTAACTTAGAGATATTAAAATATAGTTCTTATAACTGTAAAAAATATGATCATACTACAAAACACATTTTGGCGGAATGATGAGGTAAGAGATCTTGCATGAGATTTAACACAAACTGATAGGTCTCGTTTCTTATTCTCACTCTTCTGTAATAATCTTGGTATATATTCTCTCCAAAATCCAACTCGTCTTGCATTTAATTCAGTTCTATTCTCTAGTTTTGCCGATGTTAAGTACATATAATTTCTATCAGTGGTGGAATATTCTGACCAAAAAGGTAAATCATTCATCTTTTGATTTGGATCTTCCCCTGCATCATTAGGGTTTCTGAAATATAGTGTCTTTATTATAGCATATTATGTCGTTGGAATGTATTCATTCAAATAAATGTTTGGCTTCAAGATATCCATTTTGTAGGGGAGTTTATATTTACATAGATTGTGTTGAATTTATCTATACTGTTACTTTTGAACATACTAGTTTATGAAACAAATATAGGTCAGATAAACCTGTAGTAAAAGGTCAATTTATCTCTTAACTACTAAGAATACCCTACATCATTCGCCAAAACTGAAATATAAATGTAGGTTAAGATGTAAATGTTCATTATTTTCTTTTAAGAACTGGTAATAACAAGATCAGCTATGCAATATAAATTATTATAAGACCAGTGGAAGGAAATATGAAGGTGAGGAGGCCTAGCAGGGCCAATGGGGGTACAGTAGAAAGTCCACTGTATAACTATAAGACTTACCCTGACTTAGCAAAATTACTCCAATAATACATTATTGTTGACGAAAGATCCCATTGAGATACAGCTTGACTTCTATTGTAATTACCATAATATAACTTCATTTCCTCGGGAAAACCGAAGGTATAAGGCAACTCATCGGCGTGGAGAGCTCCATCTATCCAAAAGTCCCGCGTTAAAAATGGATAATGCTCATTAAATTCATATTGAAAGGTTTTGGAAACATTATTGTTGTGAGCATGTTTCTCAATTGTAGTAAACGAAGGTATATAGAATTCTATGTCGGTTAAAAGGTCACAAAGATATTGTATATGTCGACTTCTATCATTAGGATTTTGATAATTACTGTACTGAAAGGAAACAGCTTCTAGAATGTCTTTACTGAATTTATCCTTAAATGTTCCTTTTATTTTCAACTCAAATATTGTATTCAGTGCCTTTCGGAGTTCATTTAAAGAAGTCGTGCTGTTCATAAGTGTTCCATATAATTCAGTAAAAGGGTACCCGCCTATGAACAGTTGACCTTCATAACCATTAGTTCCCATCAATAAATCTACATTTTCAAACAGTGTAACAGACGAACTATTTATGGGGGAGTTCAGGCTTTCAACGCGATCTTTTTCAACAAAGATACCGTCATAACTTGGTGTCCATAAACCAGTTCCATTCAGTAATTCAGTCATGCTACGAGCTCTTAAACACTTTACCATTTCTTTATTAGACGTAGCAAAACACTTGATTTCCTTTGCGAATGTTATTGCTCTATCCAAAGGATGAAGTGTAATAGCTGATGGGAGGTTGGCAGTTCCACTTTGGGCAATTACTCTCTGAAATAAACCTTTATTCTCGGGATATAAGGCCTGATGAATAACGGAAACAGCACCAGCAGATTCACCAAATATTGTTACCCTTGTTGGATCACCTCCGAAATCAGCAATGTTATCATGTACCCACTGAATGGCTAAATGTTGATCATATAGCCCAGCATTAGCATCAACATCAGCACCTTCGGTATTCAAGAAACCAAATACTCCAAGGCGATAATTAATAGTAACAACCACAACTTGACCATAAACTGCCAATTCTTTACCACCAAATACGCGCCCATTTCCTAAAATGAATCCACCTCCGTGAATCCATATCATTACAGTAAATTTTCGACCATCATCCATAACATCTGGTGTATGTATGTTTAAGTTCAAGCAATCTTCATCAATTCGATCATATTGAAATGCAGGTGAACTCTGAGGACATGAAGGCCCATACAACGATGCATTAAAAGTTTCTGTAAATTTAGCTTTTCGAACTGGCTTTAAAAAACGACGATTGCCTGTTGGTGATTCAGCATACGGAATGCCTAAGAAACTCGCAATTTCAGACTGCGTCTGGTCTGGATTAGGAAGCGACACATTTTGAATCTGTCCATCAATTCTGCCGACTTTTGTAACCAGAGATCGTATCCTAGCTGAAGATACCTGTAGCACAAATAAAGTTAACACAATACATAGTGAAGGCATGATTGTTATAGGCTATATGTCTACCGAAAGAATATTTTATTACTCGTTATTGTGAAATACTCTATATGCCCTTTATCTTTTGTTTATTTTTAGAAAACGACCTAGATAATACTTAATATGAACTAAATATAACTTTTATCCTCTTGAAAACTTAACCCTTAGTTAATAGAAATACGAATAGGCCAATAAATAGGCCAATATAAACCAATTTACAATTTTATCGACGTTTACACCTTGGTTACTCTATCGGCCAGGTAAATTCTTTAAAGACTCTTTTGTGTATCGTAGAAATTGATTTGCATCTTTTACAAAATTCTTCAGTCGGTGTTTTCCACTATATCGATAATCACGAGCGGATAATTTGAAAGGAAAATGAATCTGATTGGATGGGTGCAGACGATAAAATAATCGGCAACAAATATCAATTATTATTATAATAAATCCTGTCGGCAATGCGATAATGTTTTCGTGGAATCGAGGTAACATGCAAGATTTTACTCAAGATTCCGCTACAAAAATCGGTGACCAAGACTGTTCGTGTGCCTGCAATCTAACTTTGAAATCAAACAAGGAAATGTTGGTTTTAGAACGTGTGAATGAACGAATGGGTAATTAAATTAAACCAAATTTTGGGGTATTAATACAAAACCCCTTTTTGTTTTTGTTACAATTTTGTATTTTGAAAATACTAGACTAGGACCCCTTTAACACGAGTGAACCTTATAATGGTGGACAAACTAGATTGTTGAAAGTCATTGAATTGAAACGACTTATTTCCTTTATGAATCGAGTGACACATTTTATTATATATTTTTTTATTTTGTCTACAGTATACATAAGATATACCGTGTACATATATTACAGGGATAACGTCTTACAACGCATACCAGTTCAATATGGAGTTATTAAGATTGTGTACAGTGAGTTTTCTGATCAGCATTTGTTACGCTGAAGAAGTAAATGTTAGCTCAAATGTTGGGACTATTAAAGGAGACTCAGAATCAGTGACCTATGCTGGGAGAACATCAGTCATATATAAATTTCTTGGTATTCCGTATGCTGTACCACCTACGGGAGATTTGAGATTTTCAAGACCTGTTAAACAACCACGATTTAACCAACCATTTTCAGCTTTGCAATATGGATCATCGTGTACACAAAACTCTCCAGTACAAAACCAAAGTGAAGATTGTTTGTATTTAAATGTATTTTCACCAAATGTGGACATTGTTGCAAGGCTTCCTGTCATGGTATTCATCCATGGTGGTGGGTTTGTTTTTGGTTCCAGTAATCAATATGGTGGTGGAAGATTAGCTGCTTATGGTCAGATAGTTCTTGTGACAATCAATTATAGGCTGGGTCCATTAGGATTTTTAAATGTTAATGATAAGAATTTAGTACAGCCAAATAATGGTTTAATGGATCAACACATGGCTATTAAGTGGGTACATGATAATATAGAAAGTTTTGGTGGCGACCGATCTAAAGTAACCGTATTTGGAGAGTCGGCTGGATCAGCCTCTGCAATATTTCAAACCTTATATCCTCCAAATGATGGGTTATTTCACAGAGTTATTGCGCAAAGTGGAACTGCGTCTGATATATGGGCATTATCCCAGGATCCGAAATTAATGGCTCGAAGGTTAGCAATTGAAATAAAATGTCCTGTAACGTCGATTCTTGAGATGGTTCGATGCTTCAAACAATATAATGACACAAAGAAAATGGTAGCGTCGGTTAAGGAAGAAGATATATGGGGACCATCTTACGATGACGAGTTTGTATTTAAATCTCATATTGACGAACTACGATATCCAACTGGGAATATTTCTCTTCCTCTGTTCGAAAAAGTCGATTTGTTAATGGGAACGAATGGTTTTGAAGGACATAGTTCTATAACACAATACGAACAAGTTATGACTATCTATAGAAATACGTCTTATGGAATAGATGTGATCAAGGAGACCAATAAGAATTTGATGTCTAGAGTTTTAAACTTCCTTATGGGTGACAAAATTACAAAAATAATGCTGGATGATGTTGTGTTTCAATATTCCAACTTTCAAAATCCACAAAACAGAGACGCACATATTGTACAGGCTGTCAACTTTATGACAGATTTACTTTTTCTTCCAAGAACACAATCTTCTGTTATGCGACATGCACATATGAACACCTTGTCTAAAACCTTCCAATATGAATATAACGAGATATATTCTTTAGTTCAACAGGACAGCTGGGTACTTGGGGCTACTCATGCCTCTGAATTGGCGTACATATTTGGTTTTCCTCCTGGACTTTCTCTGCATTATGGATATTATAATGACTCCATGACTCGTCCATTGTGGACATTTTCGTCAAAAGTGATGGAATACTGGACAAATTTTGCTAAAAACGGGTAGGTTTATACACAATTATACGTCATATTTCATATTTCATTCGGCATGATTTAAATCGGTGTAAATTTTATGTCCTTGTAAAACAGTTTTCAATAATGTGTTAATGCAATGAAAACGATTTACGTAACATAATATCACTGAAAAGTCCAGAAATATTTGAAAACAGCATTCTTAGCTAGATTTTGTTCAAAAATTATTATCATCCAAATTTTCAAATATAATTTAAAATATCAGGATGAATAAAGGCATATAGAGTCACTCAAAAATTTCGATCGACATTTTAATTTATTGTCGTAATAAGAATCGGGCATTCAATAGTCTTGATCCACTTTCAAATTAGAATTTTTACACACAGAACACATATTCATTAAGTTTCAATTATTTTACTATAGAAATCCAAATGGTGGTACTTCAACATTTTGGCCAGAATATAATACAAAGGATGAGAAATATTTATACATCACATCTGACATGATAGAAATTAGAAATAATCTACATGCTAGAAGAGTCAAGTTCTGGAATAAGAGAGTACCTATGCTCATTGAAAGGATGGAAAATCAACAACCGCTGCCAAGTGTAGAATGCACTTCATCTGCTTCGTTCATATTGATAAATATACAAACATTTATTATGTTCATCGGTTTTTACTTCTATACTTAATTTCCAATACACTTTTAAAAATTTTTTTAGATTAGTTTTATTGCTGTTTCATTTACGCTTTTTTTTTAATTTTTTCTTCTTATTTTATAATTTTTTACTTTTTGTAATAATTTTGTACTTCTTTTTATAATTTCTTATTAACTATATTTATTCATGCCAAAATTTAAATATATTAGCGTACTTGCATTCATTAAATTGTAAATGATAACGAAAGGAATTAATACTGTGGTACACTTTATCACTCGTATATCATATCTTTCTGATACATACAATGCTAGTTATCAACATGTTCATTCTTCATATACACTAGCAAACTATTAAGTAGTCGGTAAGAAGAGATTTCATTTTTCTTTGTATGACTCTGACACCATCACCTTGTTTACAAGATATGTTTATTTGAATGAATATTTACAGAGTGACTTTCTGATGCAATAGTGAAATCATAAATGTTATCTGTGTGAAATTATATATGGACATTATATTTAAGACAAAAATCGGGCATGGCGCGCTCAAATTAGATATATTACACATAAACAATCTAATTCAAGCCCTTTCATCTGAAGGAGTCTCGTCTATAACACAATAAATCCCTTCATCAAAACAATCAAGCATCATATATTCCCCTTCAGCCTCCAACATTTCTTCTAATTTATGAACTAAATCTTCAAAATTTGGTCGATTTATAGGATCCGTAGTCCAACAACTTTCCATAATGGCATAGCTGAAATTGATATATTATGCAGGAAAGTGAAAAATGGTTTTACAAAAGAATGATTTTTTGGTAAGTTTTTTAAAATCTTAAAGGGGCATGAAAAAGACCTAATTATTTGCTATTCCCACCTTTTTTCATCTACCAGAAATCAGCTCAGGAATGAAGGAAAGAAAACTTTCTAAAATCAACAAAAACGATCACAGTATGTTCTAATTTCAGTTCATTCTTCAAACCTACATATGCTAAAATTGACTTACACAGTTCAATCCGGTTAACCCAATAATAAGACTATTGTATACTTTAACTTACAACTCGTGTTTACAATGACTTGGACATGACAAATTCTCCCCAGATAATATACTTTCCATTGCCATTTTGGCTGATTTACCAGGATAAGGACTTGCACCTGAAAGACACAAATCAACAAACAATTTAAAATTGAGCAGAAAAACCAAATGGCAACAATATATAACATTCGACTAATTGAATACCTGGATGATTTATTGAGTCATGTCATTAAAACACGTTGTAATATTGCGATTTATTATATAAAAGATCAAAAGTCTGCTGAATAACAATTATATGAGGAAACAAATTTGTAATTTATAAAAGTTAACTATAAAAAGAAAAGTCGCTTTTTTTGGATCATGAGGACATAATTGCATGATTAAAATTGTTATTTTTCTGGTAGATATGATTTTAAGACTTTATAACGGACAGATTATTAGTTTAAGACATTCAGTTGAAAATACCGGTTGCATCCGGCGCGACAGTTGAGAACCTTGGGAACTGTGAGATGCCCGTGGGAACAAGAAAATGATTCACAGGAACTGACCTATTTTCAGCCTGCATCCCTACTGAAATTAGAACCTAATTTGTCTCAAATGGTAGACACGAGAATAAGTTCTACTTGTGTAACTTCATAGGGATGCAGTATTTTAACACTGAAAATATTTCATTATTGTATACCGACATATATACTGACCGAATGTTGCTATTTCCCACAAACAAACACCATAAGACCATACATCTGATTTGGTAGAATGAACATTATCTCTTAATGATTCTATTGACATCCATCGTATTGGCAAGGGTCCCTTGAAAAAAAACTTGATTACAGTACATATCAAAACAGATCCTCGAGAAATTTTACAAACATCCCATGTCCGTTGTTCAAGTTACTGTAAAAATCTTATTACCCTACCTTTGTGGTTCTTTCATATTCATCAGAGCCTTCAATATCTCGTGCCAATCCAAAATCGGAAATTTTACAGATATTATTTTCGCCAACCAGTACATTTCGTGCTGCAACATCTCTATGTACTATCTTTAAAAGTAAAAAAAAAATTAATATCAAGCTTTGTGTTAATTTAAGAAATTAAATTATATGCCTTTGTACCTTATACAGCATCTATTTTTTGGATATAGCAGGGACATCTATATTTTGCAAAAAGCACGCTATGGCAGATCATTTTTGTTCCTTTGCCAGTAAAACTATTTATTGTGTTTACACTTAGAATTTTGTTTCTATTAGTATCTGTTCTGAAAAGGGTACATTTTAGTTGACCAAAAGGCATCAGTTGGTTTCTATTGTGTGCACTGTTGCTCGTCAAACAATGGCACATCGTAATACGCCCACCATTGTAATGGCAGCTAGGTCATCTGGGCGGTTGACAAGAGCTATCAATAAATGAAATATTTCGAGAGTAACATTTTCATACTGCACAAGTTTTATTAAGGAATTTTATTTTTATTTTCAACAAGTTTCGTCTAAATCAGTTCAGAATTTGGTCTTCTGGAGTTTACGAGGTAAACATTGAACACATTCTTTTCGGTCGAGGGAAATAACCCATATTAAACATTTTTCGATTCAAGGAAGTCTCTTTAAAAATCTGTTGAGAATTGTGCCTTGAATGTGATTTCAAGGACAAGGGCAATAACTCATATTTTTCAGGATTTTTTTAAAATATCTATAGGGAAATAATTAATAATTTCACCACATTTCTAAATCTGTCAAAAATTGTTCCTTCTGGACCTTTCACAAGTTAAAACTTTTCAAGTTTTCAAGAACAAGGGCAGTAACAAAAATCAAATATTTTTCAATTTTCAATAGGGTTCACACTTTGAACTCAAGAACTCATATCAAATATTTTTCGATTCGTCTAATTTTCAATATGGTTCAACCATTCATGATTACAAAATCTCACATCAAGTTTCGTCAAAATCCAGGCGGAGCGACGGACAGACAAACAGACTGGGATGACGACAATATTCGCCCACATTAACGTACGAATTATTACTTTTTAACAAATATATAATCATTGACAAATAATTTAAAATACTTTTAAATGCCAATTTAGAGAACTCAATATTGTCACATACCTTTAACGATGCAATATGATTAAGACCTTTTGCAATCTGATGACTAAAACAAAGTAAATCTTTTGGTGTTAAATCGGGCTGAAAAGTTGAAAATTCGGTTTGTCGAGAAGTTGTGAAGCTGTTCTCGCCACTTAAGCCTCCATTTATGCTTCCGTTCGACTGCGCTGGTTCCACACGTTCATCACTTGTTTTATTGACTAGTTCTATTTGATTATAATATGTTCTTTTATTTCTTAAGAATTTTAACAAATCACCTGCTGGTACATACTCCATAATCATCAACACCGAATCAGAACCTTTAATAAACATAGGTTTTATTAGAGCATAAAATACTGAACAATTATATTTAACTCAATTGCAAATATGAATGTTTCTTTCTGTGTGTTTTCTGCCATTCGCTAGAAATTTCTATCATGCATCTCATGATCTGTGTAATTAATTTTTATTGTCATTTCTATACGCACACATACGGAAATGGGGCGTATACTGCAATCCCCCTTGGTACATTTCTTGTGAACGCAATAGACACTACAGTTTTTAGCTGACTTTAAATTTGGTGTGATTATTTATATGGATGAGTTCTTGGTTAAGTTTAAATTTGACGATTTGTTGATGAACGGTTTTTTAGTTATTGCCTTTGACTTAAGAAAAACGCATCCAAATATGACTGGGAACGCAATAGAGACTAATTTTTATCTGGTGTGATCATTTATATTGATGATGTCTTGGTCAAGTTCGAATTTGATGAGTCTTCGATGAACTTTTTTATACGCCCACACGTAAGATGGGCGTATATTGTAATTTGAGTTATTGATAATATCTTGGTTATGTTTGAATTTTACCCTTTTTCGATGCACTTTTTTTCAGTTATGGCCCTCGACTTAGGAAAACACATCAACATTTGTTCATGAGCACAATAAAGTCTACACTTTTCATCTGATTTTAATGAAATTTGATTTTATCATTTATATTGGTCAAGTTGAAATTTTTACGATATCTAGATTACCGGTTTGAGGTTATTGTATTTTAAAATATGTTCAAAATATTAAGCAGTGTGATAATATGTGGGTTATTGCTATTGATTTAAAACTCAGCATAAGTAACAATCAATTCAAACTACAAATGCAAAATGAAGATCTTTAAAATGAGAAAATTTGTACTCTGGTCACTAAAGACGCTATTATCATTTCCGACAGCTGCCACTGGGCGTATGTTACCTTGCTTGGTAAGCTATCGTTTGATTGGTAAGTATATATTATGAAATCTTAAGATTTCATGGAGTCCAAATTCAAAAGAATCTGGTCCGGTAAATGCAATGACTAATAGAAAAAAAACAGGAAACATCTAGATTTGTATTTTAATCAGATTAGAGCAGTTAGAACAAATAGCATTCATTTAAAAAAAATCTTAAATGATTAATTTAAACCAATTATATTGATTGCAATTCTTGATTCATTTCCAGCATTAGTCAAAAGTTTTTGTATAGGAATGATAATAAACAAAGCATGAAAAACATTCCAAACAGTGCATAAAAGATTCTTTTTGAGGTCGATCGTCAAAAATTGTATATATACGCTAATGGCGACCTTAACACGATATGAGCTAATTTTCCATCGTAGTAGCAGCGTAGTAAGAACGCATTCTGGTGTGACTGGGCTATTATAGAAGAGAAGCATTTACCTTGAGCTTTTGAGGTTCCCAAGAATGAAACAACATTTGGATGATGGGTTATTTTCTTGACGATCATTAACTCGTGGTAAAAATCTTCCTTTTCCCCATCAGTTGCAGTATCTTAATTGAAAAAAATATTACAAAACAGTGTTACACCGGCCAATATTTGCACGTTTTCAACGCAACGATTACGATACAGATTAAATACAAATGTGCGTGAAAAGTCTAAAACCCCATCTGTAATCTCAACACGTTACGTTCACATTTAAACACAAACCTTTCGACCATCCATGGACAATTGGCATATTAGAATCCCGACATGAACATTTAATTATTTATTCAACAAGCCATTTTTAGTGCTATTCTATTGCCTTTTCCCTATCTGGATGATTCGTTCCCTTGTAAATAACTTGTAAATAAATAGATTGTTTTGATTACTTTTTAATCGTCGTGCGATTTAAAAGCATTGTAGATGGAAAATTTAATATAGCTACCTTTCCACATTTTTACAGCAACTGTTTCCCATTTACCACTTTTACAGATACTTAATGCCTCAGCCTTGTAAACTCTACCAAACTTTCCTTCTCCCAAATGATCAACAAACTTTAATCTGTTTCTCGGAAATGCATCGCGATCCACTTCCAACCCAACATTCTCATAACCCTTTGAAATAATTTAACAATATGTATCAATGTATAATTTGATTCGTTCATATGTTTGAATATGATAAAAATAAAACTGGGTTTCAATATAATACTGTTATTTTATCATCCTAGACCCATATTTTCAGAAACAATTGTCGACGCCCACATCCCAGGGGTCGTTATCAACAACGTCAAAATTGGCTTAACCAGAAGTAGAGGGAGCATTATTTATGGGTTGGTGACATCTTCCTTATGTCCTTTTGAGGTTTGTTAAACGTAGAAACCCAAATTAAGACTGTAAATCGACACTCACTGAAGCACAATGTTAAGTTTGCGATGAGTTTTGAGTTCGGAGATAATAACGTGGAGTAGAAGTTGTATCTTAATTCTTCTTTACTTACCTCACTTACATTAGAATTTCGTCGACTAATATTGTATCTTGCTGCAAAACTTGGTGTCATCTTTTTTACAAACGAATCCCGTCTCTGAAACAGGCAAACGAATCAGCATTGTTCATTAAGAATAACGCCCAGTATGTTGCATTTTATTCAGTTTATGACCAAAAGCTTGTTTTAATCAAGATATGGTATATGCCACACCTCAATTCGGTGTTATATTATTCAAAATATGAGCAATGAAGTCTTTTTTTTCAGTGACAGTATGTGATCAAGGGTGTTTTTTATTCAGCATGATCAACTGATGCTCCATGCAGTATTAATTTTATGTTCCATGGATGTTTTAATCAATTAACAATCAAGGGGTGTTTTATAAACAGAAATTTCAATAACCTTTCGGAGGATAAGTATTGCCGCTCCAACAATAATTGTAGCAAATACAAGAGCTGTTCCTACTCCAATTCCAACGTGTGTATAATCTATCTGATCACGTTTACTCTTCAAGTGCTTGGCTAAAAAATATAAAAGGACACATTAACACAATTATAAATAGTTTAGTATCAATAACCTTCGATTAGCACTATAGTTCAAATAACTTTAAAAAGGCAATATATTACCAAGTAAGTAATGTACTTGTAATTCACTCTCAGATGGAGTCGTCAAGTGGAAAACTTTGCTATATCTGATAGGTTCATAACATACCAACACAGTGCTCATTCATCATAAAGAAACCCGGTGAACATTCACAATGATAAGATCCCAAATCATCTATACACAGTGAACCTTCTTCATTACAGGTTGAATTATTCTCACATTCGTTTTCATCTGTAAAATTTAATAAAAAATGTGTATCATTGTATTAAACCTGAATTTAATGTAGACCTGCAGATGATTATAGAAAGTCTATAATAAGAGTGTTATTTTTGGAAATTGAGTCCAGGCTGCGAATGGTCTCTCGGTCAAAATCAATTTCAATCCAAAAGATACCTTTATTTATAGTTTTAAATACTGTTATGTGTAATATCTTAGACCTATGACGATTCCAAAACTTCTGTAACAATAGCGACGTAAAGCTTGGAGTACATCCAAATAACAGCTAACTCAAAATACAAGTATGTTAGTTAGCACAGGATAGTATTCAACTTTTACTTTGTTTTGGAAGGATGTCTTGCAAGTGAAATGGTTTAATTTAACAAAATTGATAAGGCCCATCGTACTTCGATTGAACATTATGACAAGAACTGTAGCCTGTAAAATTGGCACAAAATGGCACCATACTGGCTTTGGTACAAATCCGAGTGCCGAAAATGAAAAGGACCTGTAAAAAAATACTTTGCCCATTATGCTGAGGCGGGATTTCAATCAGCATTTCAATATATACCTTGTAGCGTTATGGGAACTCTCTTTTTACTGATATCATTACTAGCTTCGCAAATAAAGTTGACATTATAATCTTCTATTGAGATATTGTTGATTTGTAAAATAGATGTTATGTAGATACCGTCGGAAATATTGTCTACCTGGTATTTATCACTGAAAATATAACAAGAAAGTTATGTCCACTAAATGGTGAATGTCAAACTAATAGTATAATATACAAGGCAAAAGTCACAAACACTGACACAAATGAATGTAAAACATATCAGAGTGGAAACACTTTTAAACAAAGATATTACAACCATTTGCAGTCGTTTAAACATCCAAATATGAAAAATGCACCGAACTCTCAAAGCACATTTGACAACCTAAACTGACAAATAACAATTACAAAATTTCCTGGTTCATTGATAGCAGAGCTAAAGCCTACACAAAAAAACAAACGATGTAACCTGTGTTTAACTGAAAAGCTTTCCATCATTAATGCCCCTAAGCACACTTTTTTGAACAAACTCTTCTCGAAGTGTAGACATGAGAATAAGTTCTACTTGTCTAACTTCATTAAAGACACAGGCTGCACAACGGTCATGAAATTTCAATTTGTAAACCATTTTACAGATACATCTTATTCGGTTGAAATAGTTACACGAAACACTAGAAAAATATATGGCAACAAAATCTTTTATTAAAAGAGACAAAGCAAATATTTTCGTATGATATTTTCAATTACTACTGTTTTGAGAATTTAGGAACAAGAACAGTGATATTTATATTTTTAATTCTATTAACAAATTAATACCATGGTATAATTTATTTAACTATAACAACAAAATGTGTCCACAAATAAAGATGGTGGCGGGTAAATATATTCACACTGTTAGATTAATTAAAAGTGATTCAATTCAGTGATTGAATTAGAGTAAGTTATATTAATGCCTAGTTATAGCACACTGAAGCCCCTCCCATCAAAATAACAATATCAAGTAACGAAAACATCAAGGGAAATTTTGCCGTCAATCTTACAAACGGCAATAAAATGTTTCTTGTTAAGATTAATATGGGTAAACTGATTAAATTTTACCTGTTCAAATCTATCTGTCTTGCATTTTTAAACCAGACAATTGTAGCTTTTGGTCTTGCTGTAACATTACATATTATTTCAACATTACTACCAGGCAGAGCAGAAACACTGTTTGACGGTGTAGTAACTATTGGAGAATCTGAAATTAAATTATTTTTACCTGATGTTTACTACATCTGAAATTTAAATATTTTTAGCTCATTCCATTCCATTAGAGAAATACTATCAAAAGCCCAATTTTGGCATGAGTTAAAGAACCACCCCTTAATAAACTTAAGGTCATGTTTCACACAGTTTTTAATTTTGATAAAATTCTAGATTGGTTAAATGCGCTTGTGAATATTGCTGATGAACAACTGCAACTGACATTACATTTTGGTTTCAAAAACTTGTTCTAGGTTAGCTTTGAACCATTGGTAAAGGTTTCATCGAGAAACTAAAGAAAAATATATTGGTTCATATGATTACAAACACTTTTATTTAAGATAATAATAACATTCAAATTATCTTACCTGTTACAGTAATTGGCTTGCCTATTCTAATTTCTGGTTTTCCCGAACGCAGGTGATGGGCACAGATATATATTCCTTGATATTCAAACTCAGCTTTCCAGATATTTAATATTGAGTAGCGTACCATTTCCGATTCCACCTCAAAGTGTATATCAAACAATTGACCTTTTTCAGGACTAATATTTAAAGTTGATGGTTTTATTTCCGGTGTCTGTGTAAACCGCCAAATAAACTAGATACAAATAAATATATTCTATTTATATCCTAGCGTATTTTTTTGGGAGGTTAAAAAGATTTGACAAAGGTAAGTTGCAGCGCAAGCCTCCAGGATCTTAGGGTACAAAAAGGATAAAGACAGAATAGATTTTGTACGATTAATCATTGTATATTATGAAGAATGGCCTAGTAGTAGAATAACTTACTGCGTGAAAAAATGGTGAATCAGCAAAAACGGTCGACATCTTAAAGAGATGAAAATAGAAAATTTAGACAATTTGGGTGTATTATTTTTGTGTACCATTTATCCACAGTGTTTTTATTTAAATCAATTATGACCTTTAAAAATTCAATAGATAAATTGGTCATCATTATAATGATATTTGGCCCGAGGTTGTTCAAACAGGATATAAGTTGATTTATGAACACCAATCTTCTGGAATACTACAGGCACTAAAGTATTTCAAGCGAAAGGACCTGACACGGTGTTCCCATGTTATCCATTCAGTTGCGAACTACGTGATCATTACGCATTACAGAGAAGACTGATGAAATATATGGAAATTAATAGTATGTGGTACTTAAGTAGGGCATCTTCACAATGTCACGCTATTACGCACTACTTCCAATATTCACTATTCTTGTATCACGCTGGCGAAAACAGTCAATCAGTGCTCAGTGTTTACAGTATTTCCTTTAATGGCTATGATTCGCTGGACTACAATAGAATCAAATCGCTGCATTCTGTGATACAAGAAAGGTGGCTATTTTTACGACTGCGATTGAATGATGAAACAGATCGTTTTTTTATACCTCATAACCTATCTTTAAGCAATTATTTGGCATTTACAACCTTAAAATTACTGTGTTTTAAACTCACTTCTTCTGTAGGATTTGGAATGTTAGTCACTTTACATTTAAACGTAATAGGTTCACCTATCTTGTAGTCTGTTTTGTTTGGCTCGATAATTTCTACAGATGGGTGGGCTGTAATAAAACAAGACACCACAAAAAACAAATTATTGTTAATGAAATGTAAGTGTTGTTTATTTTTTCATTGGTATGAACAGACGCCAAAAGGTCGAAGTGAAAAAAAATTAAAACATCAACACCTGACTATTAACTGCTGTCATCACCGCAATTGCCAGCATGTTAGAATCATGGAAAATTTCTTCTTATCTTCCCAAAGTAAATCTTACTAGCCATAAAAATATGGACGTATGAAAATAAAAACGGCAATCAATATTACAAATCCAGGGATCCTCGATGACAATTTTTGTTCATTGTGTACGGAATTACAGTAGTTAGCGTAATTGATATACATGTAGGTCTACCTGTACAGAAACCAAATCTTACTTTAATATTATAAGCACTATGGGTAGTAAACACAGATCGTTGG